TTTTTTTTTTCTTTTACACAATCAGAGAACTGGATGGCAAAACAGATCCTGTCTGGGGAAGGATGTGTGGAAAGGGTGTGGGAGTGTGAATACAGAGGAAACATTACGTGCTTGTGTATGTAAGTGGAAAGATGAGACCTGTTGAAACTATTCTAGGAATGGGGGTGGGGGGATAAATGAGACAAATAGAGGAAGTGATTCAGCTATGATACATTTGGTACATTGTAAGAACTTTTGAAAATGCCACAATGTACCCCCAGCACAACAATATAAATAAATAAATACTAAGAGTGCTATCATTATTGATTATAATTATCACCCTAAAACAATGAATTATAGGCTTTATTATAAATATGATGTATTTTACTTTGCTATTTAAAACAATGGCAAAAACTTTTTTTTCAGGAGAAGCAAGTAGATTCTCTGCTTTATTGGACAAGACTCAAATTTTAAAGCATTAAGTAAAGAACAGAAAAAGAAACAGGACGGTTGGTGATGATGGATTAAAAAAAATGTGGGACACACAGGCAGCTTGGCTGGGCAATGCATATTTTGAGAAAGAGTTACAGAAAGGAAGTCTTAAGACAGCATACTAGGACAGTGGCGATGCCACCAAATGCCCTCCCCAGAGACACTGGTAGCTTTGCATTTATGTCCAGCCTTTCATGAGGCAGGAGTCAGGTACAAGGAACAAAATTCATGAAAAAAAAAAAAGAATGGATTAAAACATGGCTTCCTTTCATACTTTATTTTTAAAAAACACACATTGCTTTGGTGTTGCAGGAGGGCTCAGACAGAGACTGAAAGGTCACCAAAGCTTTCGGGAAGTAAGTTTATTAAGCAAGTCGGCAGCAGCTCAGCAGACTCGAGTGCAAAGACTGAGCCCCAAGAACAAAGGTTTTCCTTATATACCATTTAGAGCAGATTACAGAAATGAGGGGGTACATCTTGTCCCATACATAGTCACATGTTATTTCATTGGCTGTGTTAACCTCTGTGCGAGGTGACCTTTCTCTGGCCTCCAGGTAACATTCCCCAACTCCGGTTTTCCTCTGTTTCACTATAGCACTCATTAATTTCTCTTCCCCCTTCTGTCTTCCTGCCACATTCCCCTCTTTGATGCTCAGACCCACTTCTGGGTCAAACAGCATCATCCTGATAAATACCACAGTACCATAGGATTAGGCAGGGTGATATCAGGCATGTTTTTAAGACAAGGAACGTTGTCCCTATTAAGGTCTTGAACCCACTGAGGGTTGAGAACCAGCCCCCAAATAGATCACTGGAGCTCCATCTCTTCCAGGTCTGCACAGGGACATGGGCAAGCTTTTTTGTATTGTCATTAATCTGTAAACAGTAGTTACTCAGATTGAGATTATCTTAGGCTATTGTAAATTTAGGGAAGTTAGCAAGCAGGTGAGGTTAGGGCTCCATGTGATTGGGAGCCCCCACCACTGACTCTCCTGAATAGCATCATTGTTAAACTTTTGTCCCAAGTAGTCCAAGTCCCCTACAAGGGTGAAGAATTGGCCTTTTGGACAGGAGATTCAGTAATTCCCAATAATAGAGGTTTTTAAGAGCAAAAAGCTCTCCCCGAGGTTAGGGAAAGTAGTTTGATTAAAGGGCTCTTGTGGTTTCAGCTTGTTTGGCTCCCTTGGCCAATGGTCTCTCATATTTGTTCCTCCATAAACAAAACACTAAGTTACATTTTTTTAACTGAAATGGGAAACTCACTTTGTATCTCCTCATACAAGGTGTGAAAGTCCTGGCGTAAGGAGCTCTCATGAGTGATCATGATGAGTTGAAAATGCAGCAAAGTACTGGACTTTGTTTCCTTTTTATAGATTAAAATGACAAACCACTTTTCCAACTTTCCAGCCTGTTTCACTGAGGTTGCAAATAATGAAATTTACAGGGTTACAGGCTCCAAGAGTGCAATCAGGGGTTGTTTCCTTTTTGTAAAAGAGTAGAAGTTCCATGTGAGGTACAGACCTGGCCTTTAAGCCAAGTTATCTTTTACAACCCCAATAAGGGCAGTAGAGTTGTTTATAGTACACAACCAGATGTCTCATTGTCATTTTCTAGGCATTTGTGCTTGTCATTTATTTATAGGTCCTTTCCCAGACTAGCCCCTCACAGTTGCCCTAAAGGCTGGTGTTTTTGTTGAGGTCATTAACCCAGATGTGGTTAACGAGCTTCCCAGTGCTGATGAAACTTCGGACTTGTAGCCATTGCTCCTGAGGGTGACAGATGGAGTTAAAACAGATATACTGACCATTATGAAAGCACACTGCGTAGGTGGTATGGTTGTGGCTGCATGACCCATCAAAGGTGCCTGCACAAGAATGATAAGTATGGAAAACCAGAGTTTTGGAAACAACACTTCCACTCAGGTAGTGCACATACATGAGTCACAGTCCAAAGCCTGGGAGTCCCCAGATAGAGAGCTGACCAAGATTAGCAAGAAGAATACATGGAATGGACTCATCCTTAAATGTGAGATGGGCAACTCCTCAAGCTTCTGCCATGTGTAGACTAGTTAGCTTCCAGACTGACTAGAGCAGGGCTGATGTCTCATCATCCATGGTCTCCTGTCATCTCCCGGGAAGCAGGGTCCTGTCAGGGAAAGGCACAGGCATTGTATGGTGAGACTGGGTCAGGGATGCACTCACATTTGAGGGTCGCTGGCTCCACTTGGCTGTGGTAGATCCAGGGAGCAATCTCTGTTACTCTAACTGTAGTGGGGGTGGACAAAACAACAACAAAAGGGCCCCTCCAGTGCGGCTTTATGGTTGAACATTCCATTTCTTTACCCAAACAGCATCTCCTGGTTTATAAGGATGCCTGGGAGTTGTTAGGCTAACTCAGTATCTCTCTCTTACCCAGTCATTGATTTTTGAGAAAGTCAATGGAGGGCCTATATTGTTGTCTCAAGGTGAGGTCATCTGTTTTCTTAAGGTCCCCTTGCAGGCCCTTGACTAAAGGGGGTAGACGACCAAAAAAAAATTTTAAAGGGGAGAGACCCATCCATTTGGTTTGGTGGGACTTGACCTAATCCTGAGCAAGGCTATGGTCAGTAACTGATCCCATTGTAGATGGATCTCCTGGCATACTTTTTTAATTGTAATTTTAGAGTCCTGTTTTTGTTTTACTTTCCCTGAACTTTGGAGCATTAGGCTGTATGTAGCTTTTAAATTACTTTTAATCTTTTAGCCATTAACTGTACCACCTCAGTCACAAAGGCCAGCCCACTCTATGACCCAATAGACACAGGTATTTCAAATCGAGGGATGATTTTAGTTAACAGGCACCTAGTCACTTCTTGGGCTTTCTCAGTCTGAGTGGGGAAGGCTTTGATCCATCCTGAGAAGGTGTACTTTAGTCTTAAACCAGGCCTGTTCTTGTGAAGTATACCGTGGGTCTCAATTAGATAAGGGGCAAGGAACCAAGGCAGCTGCCAGTGAGGCTGAGGTTTGTCCTCCTGTGAGGGCTGTTATTTGGCTTTCCTAAGCAGCCTTTCAGTTTCCCCAAACAGCTGTTGTCTCCCCTTCTGTTGCCCTTGGCACTGCATGACCACAACTCACTTAGGGACCCATACAGCTTTTAGTAATTTTAGAATTTTTTGTCCATATTTAATACTTTTTCTCCCAAGTTAGAAGTCCTGACTGGCAGTGGTTGTGTTTTTAATGACAGCATCCAAAGTCACTACTGCCTATCTGGCAAAACATGTGTCTTTTCAGACAAAGCTGTTGCCATCCATGAAATATTCAATGTCTAGATAACGAATGGGCTGGTTGGTCAAGCCTGGCTGGCTGGAGAATACCTCATCAATAATCTCTAAACAGCCATGCTCCAGTGGGCCTAAATTAATCTGTCATAGGGTGGCTGGGTTTAGAGTCTTAACAACCTCTAGACAGACACACAGGTTTTCATAGAACATGTTTTAATATTTGACTATTTGGGAGTTTGTTAACCATTAATTTTCTTTATATTTTATGAGAATCAAAACAGAGTGGGGAACGCAGACTGTTGAGTTCTTGTCTCAAAGTAAGCTTGTCTACTTCAGCCACTATGAGGGTACACAGGCAGGGTGGCCAGCCTCAGGAAACTGTATCAAGTTGCTTTGATAAATAGGCCACAGGGCAGTGCCAGGAACCTGGCAGCTGGGTCAAGACTCCTACAGCTCCCAGACTCTCATGTACATATAGGAAGAAGGGCTTCATCATATCTAGCAAGCCCAGAGCAGGGGCGTTTGTGAGTGCCCTCTTAATTTTTTAAAGGCCTTTTTGTTTGTTTGTTTCTCTCTCCACAAGATGGGTTCCCATTCTCCCCACTTTGTGGTATTATAAAGGGGTTTTGCCAAGACAGAGTAATTGGGGATCCAGATCTGGCAGAAACCTGTAGCTCTTAGAAATTTTCTGATTTGTACAGTGGCACATAAGCAGGGTAGGAAATCCTTGGGGTCCCCCACTAATATGGGTTTCTCTGGCTTTTTACATTTTTCCCTGTACTTGGAAGCTGCTGCCACCCTGGCTACCATAACCCTACATGCTTTTCCTAGGCAGGGCTTTAGCTACGTGGGCTGACTGAGGACTGCATCTTGCCAGCAGTCAATTCCTCTATAACCACTTTTAAAACTCTGTTGACTATGACCTTATCTAATGACCTCTCTGAGGGCCATCCTACACCAAAAGTAAGCCAGTCTATTTCACAGAAGATTCTAAACTTGCCAGGAGTCAGCTTGACCCTGTAATCTCCATTAAATCCCCTCTTAAAGTTCTAGAGGGGATATTCTTAATCTGACATCCTCCCATTCCTCTCGTTTGCCAGACATCTAGACAGAGACAAAGATAGAAGGATGAGGGCTGTGGAGAGGAGGTAAGGGGTCGGATTCTCCAGCACACAGGAGAAAACAAATAACACTACTCACTTCATCCATCTCTGGCCACCCCCCTCTCAGGGATTAAGGCATCTGTTGGCTGTAGTGAGTCTGTATAAACTCTGGGCCGGAGGTCCTGTTAGGGTTTATCCTAGACCATATGAGTTCACCACGGACCTGCAGATCTGGACTCCACACTTGTTTTGTGACCAGGATACCTTCTCAGGCTCACAGTTTCACACACTCTCACATAGCAAAGTACTTCCACCCCACTCCCTGAACCTGAAAGACACAGTCTTATCCACCCCCCCAAAAAGTGGTTACTATGGTGCCTTTCGAGAGTTAATCATACTCCCCTTTTACCTCCTGAGGCAGGCCTGGATTTGAACCCAAGTTCTTACCAGTTGGATGAGCGGGATTCCCAGGTTGGTTCCCAAACCTTTCCAGGTTCCTTTGTGCAACCAGAACTTGCCTCCTCAGCTCACCAGGAGAGAGGCTCCCTTCCCCGGATCAACACAGTCTGGTAGTGCCTGGGAAGGGCTGTGCCCGCCAAGCAGGTCAGGGACTCTGAGCTGGCAACAAAGAGGTGAAAACACTACCCTCCAAACTTGGATCAGCCCCCAGAAATATTGTAGGAGTGCTCAGACAGAGTCTGAGAGGGCACCAAAGCTTTCGTGAAGCAGGTTTATTAAGCAAGCCAGCAGCAGCTCAGAGGACTTGAGTCCAAAGGCTGAGCCCTAAGACAAAGGGAGCTTTCCTTATATACCATTTACAGCAGGCTTCAGAAATGTGGGGGATGCAGCTTGTTCCATACATAATCACATGTTATTTTATTGGCTGTTTTAACCTCTGTGGCAAGATGACCTTTCTCTGGTCTCCAGGTAACATTCCTTAACTCCGGTTTTCCTTTGTTTCACTGTAGCACTCAATAATCTTTCTTCCTGCTCCCTGTCTTTCTGCCACATTGGAAATAAAGGTACAATTCGGCCCTATGTGCAGCTACGAGCCATTAAAATGTTTAGATTTTCTAATCAGATGTTGGGATCTGGACGGAATTTTGGACACACCAGAAACGGGCCATTTCTAAGCTACATTTCTGCCTTACATCAAGTCCTCCCAGTGTGGCTTCTGGTTCCTACACTCACCATCATGGAAGGCTGGAATCAAAGAGATGTGTTCAACCTCTTAGACAAAAAAGCATTGCTGTCCCAAATGAAAAAGCAGTCTTAATCCAGGTCCCAGCATTTGGGAGGCTAAAGCAGGAGCACCCCATGTTCAAGGTCAGCTGGGGGTACAGGGCAAGAGACCCAGCCTAAAACAAAAACAAAACCAAAACACAAGTAGTAGTAAATGTTGGAAAACATTTCCAATTTCTTGAATCTTTGGAAAAGTCCCACAAAGAGGTCATGTTCCCCACTATGATAATTTTTTTAAATTAATTCCCCTTCTCCAGGTATTGGAGTTCACTGTCACTTCTGTCATCAAACCTATAAAACACCCATCTTTATGGTAGAAAGCTAGGGTTGGACACAACACTTCTATCTGCAGCCTTATTGTCTCCCCAAGAAAAAAATGAAGCCACTTTAGGCATCAAAAGGAAGAAAATCCCAGGATGTCTGAGCAACTCCACCTGCAAGGGCCTCATTTCCAAAGTGAATTCTGAAAACATGACCAAGAAGAAAACGCACCCAACACCATGTTTCTTTTTTGTTTTGTTTTGTTTTGTTTTGCTTGTTGCTTTAAGTGCCTGCAACTTATGCTTATTTGCAAAACTTGACCCCCCAGGATCAATTTCTATAAAGGACACCATGACTTGAGAATGTCACCCACATTTTGCAAAAGCAAGATTCCCAGTTAAATTAAAACATTAAACTTGGGAGTTGTTCCTGGACAGGCAGGAGACTCAAGTTCATGACCAGTTGGGTTCTTTTTCTGTCCAGACCAGATGACTGCAAACTGTTGGGATTGCTTCAAGACCATCCTGGGGGACATGGCCAGTGTAAGATGCTATTCTTATGGGTGACATTAACCATACTCCCAGGTCTGGTCATCCTGGACCACTGAGCACCTGAGATCCCACACCCCACATAGAGCCAATTCAAGGACTTTATGTTTTGCAAGTCTTCTGAACTCAGAGAAAAAGGACTGTTTTCCATGTCTTTTTTTTCCTCTTTCTTCTCTTGGTGTCCAGGATCATGGACACTCTTTGGGGTTCAAGGCTACTCTGGTTGGGGGCCCTAAGGCTCAAACCCTATGTCCCTAGAGGAAGCCCCCCATCCCTTATTCTGAAGAAGCCTCTGTGGCTGTTGTCCCCCAGGGAGAACAGCACATGGTTGGAGTCTAAGCCCAACTTGCCTTTGTCATAGTCCTCTGTTTCTTCATAGCAGAATTTTAAAATTGTATAATTAGACATGATTCATGATATACTCATATTAGAAAGTGAGTTTATTTCATAATACTGAATCTGTTTGGCAGTGCAAAGTTTATTTCTTCTTCACTAATTTGATTAGAAAGCTCCTGTTTCATTCTCCTATAATAATTGCTCTAATGTTTTTTATCTGTGTTCAAAGTCATTAATATCTCAAAAGTTTTTAACGCATCTTTTCTATCTTGTTTCATTTCCTGAGTTTTAAGGAAACTCAGGCTCGGTAGCACTCCTGGCTTTCTCCTACAAGAACACCTGCTGGTGGCACTCACCACACTGGCCGTGGAGCCAAAGAGGCACGGGGGACTGATGCAGGTGGCCGGCACACACCAGAACTTCTGCAGGGTGACAGGGAAAAAAGCCAGGCGGTCGCATCACCACTTGCACACATCCTCATGCAAGCTGCATACCTCCTGCAACTTTAACTGCTCTGCTTCTCCATGATCTGCATGTGCCACTTCTCCTGTCATTGGCACCACACTCCTGGCAGAAGATCTTGGCCAGCATGTGGTGGATGATGCTACTGGACCTGGGTAGTGGAGTGGTGGCCGTGGTAGCCAGCACAGACTCCTTGGCAGGGAACTTGTCAGGCCCGGAATACAGCTTGTCCTTGACCGCAGTGGCAGTAGCACAGGCATCATGCCAGGCCTTGTCCACCAGGCCCTTGATCTTGTCCACCATGCAGCTCTCCACCTGCTGCTGCTCAAAGGCCAATAGGAAGGGCAGTCACTGTAGCACGGGTCCAGGAAATTGGCCATATTGAGGAACATGTCAACATCAGGGAGCTCCTGGTACATCCTGCCCAGCTCCTTGGCAATGGCTTCCTTGGCCGTGCTGATATCCTTGGGCATCCTTGACCTTCAGTGCAGCATTGAGCAGTATGTGCAGCAGCAGCTTCACCACGCTGATGATGGGGAAGCACAACCCAGACAGCACGTTGGCCACCTGGCAGAAGGGCTGCAGCAGCTCTACCAGGCCCTCCACAGTGATCCACTCGGTAGCCTCCAGCATGAGGTTGTGGCTGTTGGTGTCCTACAGTAGAATACTGATAATGGCCACCTGCTTCTCCTTGAGCCTGAGCAGCATGGCCAGGCAGCTGGCCCAAGTGGGCACACGGTCACTCAGCAGCATGGTGGGGCAGCCTGGTGCTGCTTCTGCTTGTTCTACATGCTGTAGGAGGCTATGGGTGACTGCTGGAAGTACTCCAGCAGCCTGTGACAGCATGACAGCAGCCCGACAAGCTTGGGCAGCCACAGTTCTTGCTGAATGGTTGCATTGAACGCATGGCCTAGACACTGCATGTGCAAGGGGACGTCCAGCAACGAACAGGCCTATGTCAGGTCCCTGCCATCCTCCGTGGTGGCCCTGAACACCTTGGCATGGAGGCTCCACTTTATGAATGCCTCCTAGAGGACAAGGGTGACAGACTGCCATGTTGTCTTCGGGGACCTCAAACATCTTCAGGCACCACGAGGCCAGCAACAGATCACCTGACAGGCCAGCGGCCAAGAATTGCACTGCCAGCGTCACATAGCCCAGCTTCTGGTTCAGGCTGGCCCTCATGTCAGTAGACATGGCACACCACGAGGCCTTGTTCATCTCCTTGAGGACACTATCCCACAGACCTGTCAGGCAAGACCTTGAAGCAGAAGTGGTGGCCAGGCAGGCATAAGAGGGCTTGGCCATCATCAGCAGGGCTTGGAACATGGGCTGGGCCACCATGGACGCTGGCAGCAGCCCACCACAGATGAAAGCCAACGCAGCAGCCACCAGCTCCTACTGTTGCTTGGGACTCCAGGGCATCACCAGAAGGGGGTGGTGGTGGCAGTGGTGGTGGTGGCTGTGGGACAAGGTCACTTCAGGCTTGAGCTTGGAGAAGGTGGTGGTGAGGCCTCAGGCATCTGCATTGTGATGCTGTTGACATACTCACAGAAATTGTTGGAGTGGTTCTTCTCCAGATGAAAAACAGGTTGGACATGTGTGCCATGCAGATGTGACAGTAAATCTTCCTCCATTGCAGGATGCAGCCATCGGCATTGGTGTCAAAGCTGAAGTACTTTCACATCCTGCCCTTGGCACATGGGTGGGCCACCAGTTTCAGGTGGCTCAGTGCGCCATCCAGGCCTTTGGCCTCCCTGGCCTCCCCATGTGCCCACCGCACACATGCACACAGCCACTCATGCGAGGGGACCTGCTGGCTCCAAGAAACCCCAAGGCACCGCCACCCTGACCACATAGACGCACAGGGCTGGCAGCACCATGAATAAAGAAGACATAGCCTCTGCCCCCCTAGCAAAAACTCTAGTAAAAAAAAAATACAAACCATTTTGACTGATAAACCATACAAATGTTGCACCATAAAACTGAGTCAAAGAATAAAATCAGACTCTCTGAGAGATATGTATCTATGTAAATTTGCCAAGAGTGACTGATTCTAATTTTCTAATTCAAATGTCTAATATGCAACCTTTAATTTTCTTTTGTTATATACTTTGATGGCAAATTTCACCAGAGGACCAAACAGAGAATGAAAGGAAGCCGAAGGAGATTACTGGACCAAAGCTGAAACTTACTGTTCATGGATGCATACTTTATTCTTACTGGTACCTAACATGATTTTTATTAAAATTAATAAATCTGTCAGAAAAATTGAAAGAGGTGGCTGGGATTACTTTGCCTATGAGCAACTTATAAGAAGAAACACCCTAAAGAATACAATGACTGCACTGAGAAATATAAGAGGGCTTCAACAGCAGATATGATTAAGCAGGAGAGAGAATTGTAAACTAGATGACAGATCAATTGAACCAAAAAGAAAAAAAAGAGTGAATAAAGCCTTCAGGACTTGTGCAATACCATTATGTGAAATAATATATACGTGATGGAAACCCAGAAACATAAAGAGAAAGAGGAAGGGACAGAATGACGATTCAAAAAAATAATGGCTAAAAACTTCCCGTATTTGGAGAGGAACATAGAAATTCAAATTCATGAGGCCCCAAAGTCCCTTTGGGGAATCTGAGAGGTCTATATTACAATTAAATTGGCAAAAGTCAAATACAGAGAAAAGTTTAAAGGCAGCAGAAGGAAAGTGATTCATAACATACAAGGTAGATCCATCAAACTAAAATCAGATCTCTCAGCAGAAATCTTGTAGGTCAAGAAAGAGTAGGGTAACACATTCAAAACATTGAAAGTGAAAAACTAGCTAATCAAGAATATCATACTTGGTGTAACTGACACATAGTAATTATTGAACATATTTTTATTGAGTGAATGGATAAGTGAATAAATTATCTCAATTTGCTCAAGAATGGCCAGGTAGGAGTCACAAATAAGTTACTTGTAAAAAAAGATACTGAAATAAATATTTGTTGTGAATTCTTAATGTAGATTATTATCCTTGTGGAAGAGAAAAGGACCACTGTGGGCAGAAGGACCACTTGGGCTGTGATGCAGTCTTCACAAAGGCTGCAATGGGCTTCATGGGCCTTATATCTGGTCTGCTCATTGGGGAAATGGGGCCAGGCCTTCTCAATCCAGCATCAAAGAGCTATGGGATATGAGATGCCCCTCAGCATGGAGTACTGGCATTAGGCCAGGCAACTTTCTTGATTCAAGGTCAATTACAAAGTTGTGGCAAGAATCATCAGCCTTGAGCTGTCAATGGTCCAATGCCACCAGCACATGGGGGAAGAATGTTTTAATACTGAAGGAGATAAAGGATTTATCTGAGCAGCATACCTCTATAATGAATGAAAATAGAGAAGATCTCTTTCAAGAATCTTGCCAATCAAAATCTTCTTGAAATGTTTTGAATCACAGTTACTATTCAGCAAAAGTAATGACAATATTTGTTGAGCAATCAATAATCCTATGGAATTGGATTTTCTATTCAGAATAATTTAGAAGTTTTATAAAATTTAGAGTTAGAAAAAATGTACTGAATGCTTCCTGTGTAACACTGGGAACAATATATGCACATTTTGTGTCTATGTATGTAAATTTACACTCACTTTCATGGTAACTTATCAATCTTGATGGTGATACTGGATGCATGCAAGCACAATGTGTGTAATTATTTGAAAGTTACATGGCGTGGCAAAACCTTACAGGGGAGAGGAAGATAAGGAGAAGTGCCTAAAAAATTTTAGAGGAGCAATGGTGGGAATGTCAGTCATCAAACTCATGCTGGAGATTCAAATTGAGATCAAAATGAAGGGGCATTTGAATGCCAGAATGAGGAGTATTGGCTTTGTCATGTAGGACACAGGGAAAATACTTCAGGGAAAGATTAATCCTATGTTGTGGTCACCCCCACATCCAGTGCACCCATATTTAATTGGAGGTAGAGATACAGAATAACAATAGAGCAGACTACATGTGAAATTATAGCAATAATTCAGTTAAGAGATGATAAAATACTAACACTCTGTAGTGATGATAAAAATGGATATCCATGTTTATTTTCTCATTTTGATCCCTATACTAAGATGATATGCTGAAGACAAACTGAGTGAGAGGTTGCCGTGAGTCCCATCCAAAATTCAGGTGCTGCAAATATGATGGTATTAAGAGGTGGGGCTGTAAGTGGTCCCAACAGGCCATCAGGGCTCTTAGTTCTTGTCCTTTGACCTTCTACCTTCTGTCCTGTGAGGACACTGCCTACCTTACCTCCAGATGATGCAGAAAGAAGGCTTTTGCCAGAAGCCAGCAACTTGCACCTGGATTTCTCAGACTCTCCAACTCTGAGAAAACAAATTTCTATTCTTTGTAAAAACAAACAAAAAGAAAGATTACTATACTTGAGAAAGTTGTGCTGCCAAATGGAGAGATAAAGACTTTCCCAAATAAATAAAAGTTGAGGAAGTTAATCACCACTACTCCTATCTTACCAAGAATACTCATAAAAGGATATTAATTAAAATGTAAAGACATATGAATGTATTAAACTCATAGGTAAAGGTAAATATATAGTCAAATCCAGAATTCTGTAACATTATGATGATGCATGAAATACTTTCAATTCCATGTGAAAGTTAAAAATAAGTATATTAAAAATAAGTATACTAAAATAACTATAAATAAGTATATTAAAAATTATATGATGTAAAGGAAAATAAGTAATAGCATCAATATCTAAAATGTGAGAAGGAGAATTAAAAGTATAGAGATTTGTATGAGATAGAATTTCAGTTATTTTCAACATAAAATAAGATATTATAGCTATGAGATATTATGTAAGTCTCATTTTAACCACACTGGAAAAAAATTCAAAGCTTACAACCACAAAATATCATCAAATCACAAAGGAAGATAGCAAGAGAGGATCAAAGAAACTTCAAAACAGGAAGCACTCAATGATTACATTAAGTATAGATAGATTAAATTCACCAATCAAAACAGTGAATGGCAGAATTATAGGGGGAAAGGGAAGAAAACAAGAGTCAAATATTTCCTGCCAACAATAGAGTCAGGTTAGTTTTAAGGATAAACATAGGATGAAACTGAAATGATGAAAAAGATATTTTATGCAAATGGCAATAAAAAGATAACAGGGGTGGCTATATGTACTCAGAAAGAAATAGAATTTAAGTCAAAAACTGTGAAAAGACACAAATAATGTCTTCATACAATGATAAAGGAGCAGTCTAGCAAGAAGATATAGCAAATGTAAATTGTTATGAATCCAATAACAGAACACCTAAACACATAGAGCAAATACCAGCAGGACTAAAAGAAGAAGTAAAGAGCAAAACGGTAATATCCTGACTGAATAGACATGTACAGGACCTTCCACTCAACAGCAACAGAATACAAATAATTCTCAGCACACTATCCTTGAGATATGATATATAGGCCACAACAGAATGTTAACACATTCAAGAAAATTGCCACCATACCAAGTATCTTTTTGGCCACAAGGGTATAAAAACACAAAGCCACACAGAAGAAAATTATAAAATTCAAAAAAAGTATATCTGAAATTTGCTTAGAGAGATCGTAAATGTTCTTACTATATATTAAAATTGGTTTATGCTTATGTCTTTTCTTCAATAAAATTAGTGATAAGGGCAGAACAGGACCTGCCTGGAACTGAGGGGGGGAAGGGGTAAAGGGGGGGAGGGGGCAGGGTGGATAAATGACCCAAACAATATATGCACATGTGAATAAATGAACACAAAAAAATTGATAACTATGTTAGGTAATGGATGATTTTACTAACTTCATTAAGGTATCATTTCACAATACATGTATATCAAATTATCATGTTATAGCTTAAATAGATGCATATTATTTGTTAATTATTCATCAATAAAGTGAAAGGAGGAAAAAAGAGAAAATACAGAGAGGTAGAAGAACCCCATTATAGAATTATATCAGTGAAATAAACCCTTAGCAATCAGGCAGAAATTAGAACAGAGTCTCAGGTGCCTTCCATGTGAGCACAAAAAGTATCTTCTAGAGTCTCTGGCTCATAAAGTGCTCAATAAAAGCTCATTTTATGAATGAGCAAATGAATGAATAAACAAGCAAATGTGAGGGCCAATGTTCTCATAAGAAGAGTTGACTGCCTACTTAAAATTCTAAGGACATCTCTTACACATAAAAGACTTGTGAGCTATCTCTATAATGATGGATGCCAGTCTAACCACATGTGCATGAACAATGGTTGATTCATAAGTAGATCTTCATCTCACAAACTGATCTCTGAGCTCCATCACAAAGGACATCATTCCAGCCCCAGGATATATCATATGCTCTGTAATTTAGCAGAACACAACGCTCCTTGATGTCACTGGGCTCACCTGGGTGCCAGAATCTGAAAGAGAGAGAATGAGTGAGGTATTTCTTGCAGTAATGTTTAAAAGATGAGAGACAGCAAGGGAACCAAGGACTGTGGCTGAACTTTGTGGAAGTCAAGCAGAGGTGCCCAAATCAACCTTTCCCACATCTCAGGCACTGTCTCCTCCACCTGCATCTCTGGCATTTCCCTTAAAAACTGGCCCATCTCCATATTCTCACATTAAACATCCTTCCAGAGGTGTTCCACAGGCTCTCCTCCATTTGTTCCTTCTTAGATACTGTTCCCAAGGTAGTGTCAATCCCATCAATAAGGGCTTCCTTATATGATGAAAAGGTTTTCACTCCCCATGTATAAGTACAGTCTTTTTTTTAATTTTTTTTAATGGAATGATTTTAGAGTCCAAAGAACTAGCTAAAATCTCTGGATCTTCCACATCTAACTATCTTAGTCAAGCAGTTTAATTTCCTAGATTCAGTTTTCCTCACTAAAAACTGGGCACTAGAGAATATCACTATATATTCCACACAGTAGGTCTGAAGAAAAAAGATGGTAACATACTAAAGTTCTAAGAGTTTTTAAAGAATTACATAAATATGAGATTTTTATAAAATGCCAGAATTTAACATTTTGCTGTATGAAAAATATTAAATCTTAAAAATAGTTTATGATCTTAACATAAATTTTTATCATAAAGTTATACATAGAGAGGTTAAAAGCCCAGTAGAGTTCAGCAGGATTTGAGAGCCATTGTGGGGCCCTTGGCTGAATGATCTATATCCGCCGAAGTCAATTATTTCCTCATCTTGATAGGAAAAAAAGTAATGTGTGTCTCATAGGGTTCTTGTGAGGATTAAATGAGGTGATAAAATTATTCGGCACCTGTGCCCAACAGTCAAAAGGAAAGTGACCTATTTTAGTTTCATAACTGATTGCTGGAACACCCTACATCCCCTGCATAATGAAGGACCAGGAGTCCTCTATTTAATCCTATACCCACGTGGCACTTTGGTTGTATGGTGTCTGATCAGCCCATTGCCAGTGATTCTGACCCTCTGGATCTGACAGTCCAATATAATAAGCATAAGAAGGATGCACATTCTTGATGACAAAATCCTAAGGGGATAAAAAAAGAAAGAAAGAAGTTCTAGACTTAGACCACTTAGCTTAAGGTGTTCTTTTTCTTTTTTTATATTTTTAGAAATTTTGTACATTTTTAAATTGCTATTATCTTTTATTGGTGATACTGATATTTGAACTCAGAACCTCACACTTGCAAGGCCAGTGCTCTAACATATAACCATGCCCCCAGCCCTTATTGCTTTATTTTTTCAGTTTGGGTTTTGTACTTTTGCCCTGGTCAGCCTTAGATAGTGATCCTACCTTTACCTCCACAGTAGCTGGAATTTTAGATGTGTGCCATCACACCCAGCTTAGGCTTTTTGTTTGTTTGTTTGTTTTCTTTCTCTTTTTTTGAGATAGAATCTGGCTAATTTTTTACCCAGGTAAGCCTTTAGTCATGATTCTCCTATCTCCACCTCCTGAGTGGCTAGAATTATAGGCTCACACTTCCATGACTAGCTTGATTTTTTTTTT